TCACACCCCCATTCACAACCATTTTCAGAGTTGATCAGACGGGGACAGGAAGTCTATGTTCATCATTGGTGCAGAGGGCACCACATTGTTCGGAGGAGCAGTGGGGTATATGTTATAAGGAGGAGTAGGCATGCAGAAGAGGGCAATTGAAAGAATTGGTCAGCAGGGGTTGGCGGCCTGGAAACCTGGATAGGCCTAAGCTGCCGGGTATCCAAACGGTGGAGGTGCAGCATATGGACCCGTAAACACTGGCTGTGGAGGGAAGTCACTGTTAGATGGACCACCCATTGCTGAAAGGGGACCTCCAAAGGCACTTGGTTGATGGCCAGAAGCAAAACCAGCAGGAACAATAACCACTGGAAAAACAACCTCTGGATCAAAAGCAAAGCTAATGTCCAGATAGGCCTAAAAAACATTAATGACTCAATAGTACTCCGTGCCAAGAGAGGAATTGTGGTTTTGTATGAGGAAGTCAGGAGTGGCAGAGAAGTATGTTAGTTTGGTGCAGGGCATGTATGAGAATAGTACAACAGTAGTGAGGTGTGCTGTTGGAAGGACAGAAGACTTCAAGGTAGAGGTGGGACTACATCAAGGATCGGCCCTGAGCCCCTTCTTGTTTGCTGTGGTGATGGACAGATTGACAGATGAGGTCAGACAGGAGTCCCCATGGACTATGATGTTTGCAGATGACATTGTGATCTGTAGTGAGAGTAGGCAGCAGCTAGAAGAGAACCTAGAGAGGTGGAGGTTTGCACTAGAAAGAAGAGGAATGAAGGTCAGTCGCAGCAAGACAGAGTACATGTGTGTAAACGAAAGGGAGAACAGTGAAATAGTGAGGCTACAAGGAGCAGAGGTGGTGAAGGTGCAGGAGTTTAGGTACTTAGGATCAACTGAGCAGAGGAGACTGTGGAAGAGAGGTGAGGAATAGAGTACAGGCAGGATGGAACAGCTGGAGAAAAGTGTCAGGAGTGATCTGTGACAGAAGAGTGTCAGCTAAGAGGAAAGGAAAGGTTTACAGGATGGTGGTGAGACCAGCCATGATGTATGGTTTAGAGACGGTAGCAATAGGCAGAAGACAGGAGGCGGAGCTGGGGGTGGCAGAGTTAAAGTTGCTAAGATTCTCTCTAAGAGTGACAAGAATGGACAGGATCAGGAATGAGGTCATTAGAGGGACAACACAGACAGGAAGGTTTGGAGAAAAAGATAGAGAAGCCAGATTGAGATGGTTTGGACATGTGCGGAGGAGGGACAGTGGATACATTGGTAGAAGAATGCTAGAGATGGAGCTACCAGGTAGGAGAAAAAGAGGAAGGCCAAAGAGGAGATATATGGAAAAAGAAGAGTACTCAGTGATCAAACAGCAATTCAGTTTTACTTAAAACACAAAATCCATAGACATAAGTTAAAGCAGGCTTACCTTGAGGTGGTATTCCACTGAGATGATGTCACAGTTCTGGACTGACAAAATCTGATCATTGGGAATCTTTAATGCACACGTTATCTCTTTCTGTGTGTGAGATTTGATACGCTCTTGGCTATTTTGTTGATAACAACGCTCTCGTGTTTCGTATGGCACGGTACACTGTGTCCCGAGTTAAACTGAATTTGGGTGTCATCTCACTGGAAGGCGAACACTGAAAGGCACTGGAAAAGTTGATAAATTTGGGAAGTACATCATAAGCTCATTTACGTCATTGCTGTCCATCCTCAGCTTCTGGACAATACAGCTTCCAGCTTGTAAACAATTTTTCCATGATATTCTTTGAAGGATGGTGGCATATTTCTGTAAAGGACAACAGGCAGGCTCAAGATCAAGTTACTAAA